TTAAAATATACCAAAAAGCTAAATGAGATATTTGAGTATAATTAGTATTTAGCATAATTGGGGACTTTGAATACACACAGGTCTAACATATTATTATGATACTGTAGGAGAACATCTCTCTTAAAGGTACATGCTGCAAACATCTTTAAAATGTTTTATTTAAAATACCTAGACAGATAAATGATCATGGCAAAATTTAAACAGTTAAATCTAGATATGGGCATACAGATATTAATTACACTAGTTATTTTATATGGTTTAAAGATATCAAAGCTGAAATAAATTTCAAGTTCCAACGTATTAAAAAAAAAAAAGATTTTAAGCCTTTGTAGTTAAGTTATAAATTTTACTGTGAGATGTTAAAAAATCTAAACAAATGAAGTGAAATAGTGTATATTTGGATTGAAATACATGCAATCCAGATCTGTATTGACGTCAATCTGGAAGAAAAATATGGACAGTACAATCTATACAAAATTTAATAATTTGAAGCATTTTAAATGATATGTTATGTTAAAATGCAAAAAAACAGCTAAGAAACTGAAGAAGAATAACCAGAATGGAGGATTTGCTCAAAATATGAAATTTTCAAAAGGCTATAATTAAGTCAGATTGGTCTTGGTGCAAAGATTGCCAAAGATTAACAAAACAGAGTAGAGAGCATACAAACACACACACATAGACACACACACTGATATATGATATAAGGTTGGAGAAAGGACAAAATTTCAATAAATGGTACTGGACCAATCAAATATCCATATAGGAAAAAATGTCCATATAGGATATTTGATATTTTTGGATATCAAATATCCATATAGGAAAAAATGACCATGAACCTTACATGATGAATAATCAATTACAGATAGAGTATAAATCGAAATGTGCAAGATGAAACAAAATATAGAATAAGAAAGACTATCTTCATGATCTCAGTGTAGGAAAGAATTCTTCATATGAAAAATGCACTAATAAGGAAAATATTGATAAATTCAATTACATTAAAATTACAGTCTACAAGGGACTAGTATTCAGAGCATATAAATATCTCCTGCAAATAAGTAAGAAAATCACAGAGAATTCAATAGAAAAATTAAAAAAGATTTGAATAGGCACTTCACAAATTAGGAAAGGTAAATAAGAAAAGTACTCAACCTTATTAGTAATCAGAAAATGCAAATTAAAGCTCCAGTGAAATACTAGTGTAGACTCGCCAGCTGGGAAAACATTTAAAAATCTAACATTGCCAAGTGTGATAAGAACATAGAGCACTGGGAAGTCTTATATACTGCTGGCGAACATGTAAATAGTACAGCCACTTTGGAGAACAATTTTGAATTACTTAGGAAAGGTGACAACATGCATGTACCCTTTGATCCCAGCAATTTCACTCACAGGTTAGACCCTAAATGCACTTCATGTACCAGGAAACATATAAGAACATTTAGAATGCCCTCTTTGTTATAACACCAAAGTCTGGTCAATCCAAATATTCATCAAGAGTAGAATAGATTAATAAAATGTATTACTCATATAAAGTGAAATGCATTTAGCAATAAGAGTGAACAAGTAGAGCTACATGATGAATCTCACAATGTAAAAAACAACAACAAAAAACATAACGATTAAAAAAAAGTTAAACACACACAAAAACATACTGTATATTCTGTTTCTATATAATACATGAAATAATCCATACTATATGAATATATGTGTGTGTATATATACATATATGTAAGTATATGTGCACACAATGTTTATAATATATAAATAATGTATATGTTTGTGTAAAAGATATAATCAAGCAAATCTAAACCAATTTTTGGTTAAAACTATAAAGAAAAGCACAGAAATTATTACCCTATATGTCAAGGTAATAGCTATCGCTCTGGGGAAAGAAAGATAGGACATTTCCGATATGTGATAGGTTTCTAGAGTCTGGCAATATTCTCTATCTTAACCTGGATGTTTGTTAAATTATCATATTTCTGTTGTATGCATTTTTCTGTAAATGTATTTTATAATTAAAAAGGAGAAATTAGTCACCCAAACAGCACAAACACAATGTTGTCTATACTGAAACTTTGTGTAAACTCTGTAGTAATGTCTATAGCTTTGGGTTCTTCAGACAAGCTTTTGAGAAACTCATTGAGACAGAATTTCTTAAAGCATTTGAAGCATTCACTTACAGATTGTTCTTGGTTGTGTGTTCAAAAGCAAAAGGAAGCCCTGTGTTTCTTCACTCTAAGCTTTAGCCTTTTGTTCTGAAACACAATAAGATCCTATTTGAAGCCAACCTGTATTGACAGAAATGTCCTGAAATCACGAATAAGCATGAAATTTTGGTTGTGTACACACGTAACTTACTGCATGTTATAGGCCAGGTCCTGTACTAAGACTTTTATCTCATGACAACCTTCATCCCCATTTTAGGGAAGAGATAACTAAGAAAGAAGGGGTTTCAGAAACTTGCTAAGGTGACATAACTCAGAAGTGATTCAGCAGGGATGCATGCAGGCCTGCTCTTGAATCTTATCTTCCATCCCATATTGCCTTATGCACCTCTCCTTGACCAAACTCTAGACAGACTCCAGCACTGTCTTCTGGGCCCATCTATACACTTCCTTGTAAAATTTAGTTTTAGCAAGAAACTTGCTAAGTCGATTTAACCAGAATGCCCCAGCTTCCATATCTGATCACTGTCGGTATCTTCCATTTCTCAGGTGATGCCTGGTCACCCTGATCTGTGTTCAGAAAAAATCCTGTTAGTATGGTGTAGCCAGAATCCCCTGTGGTTTCCTCTGTCCACTGACCTCCGCCCAGCCTTGGCCATGAATCTGCACTTTCCCATGCTCTGTTGGCGTGAAACCAATCTCTCCTCTGCTGCAAAATTCCACTGCAGTGCTCCCTATGCCTTTCATAGAGCCCCCTTCTCCCCCCATCCCTTGAATAAAGTCTTCCTTCTACAGGGCTGAATTTTTTTTTCTTTAACAAAGGAAGGGAAGACACCACTGGGGTGAAGGTCCTGAATGAGTGGAGAGGTACTTCTCCAAGTTCATTGAGACTGTTAATAGCATTTGATGGGCCAGGAAAAACAAGTTCTCAGATATCAAAAGAATGTTTGCAGGGCCTCCCTGGTGGCTCAAGGGGTTATGCATCAGCACTGTTAAGCTATCTGCAGTCACTGCAGCACGAGTTTAATCCCAGCCAGGGAGCTAACCCACATGATGCAGCAGACCTCTCCTGTCTCACCCCCTGCTCCCCTCAGCAGTGTATTTCAGTCAATCTGCCTGTTCTGTTCCCCACTCTGTCGCTGGTGAATCCTCTCACCCCCCACCCCCAGCACCTCTGGCCTGCACCCCAGCTCTTGTATGCATAAATAAGTAAATATTTTTTTAAAAATAGAATGTTTACAGAAATCCTCTGGTGCAGTGGATCAGCTCCTCAACACACCAATTTTACATGTCCAGATTGGGTTTGCGTGAAATAAACGCAGTAATTCCTCTGTCATACAGTGGGGGGCACCCTTGGACTGATTTTTATTATTATTTTAGCTTTCCTATAAGTGGTTGGTGAGTGGGTGTGTTCAACAGCCCGAGAGAAGAAACAGCAAAAGTTAAAATAATAATAGCAATAAATGACTCATAAAGTTTTTAAAATTCTATGAAGTTAAGAAAATAATGGAAAAGAAACTGAAAACCAATGAATTCAGTTTCACAAATTGTTGCTAAAAGACAGTAGCCTGTTAGCGGTCTCCTGACCTTTCCACAATATTAGCCCCCAATTTACTGCAGTTTCATTTGTTGCACATAATTATTTTTAGTTGAGGCTTTGTCCTTTTCACTTCCACGTTTCCGAATTCTTCAGGGGTGCTCGCGACGCTGCGTAGACTCGGAAGTTTGGCTATCAGTTTACACGTAGCCTGCAGTAAATAATCCGTCAGAGATCCACCCATTTGCTTTCTCCCTCCCCTCTTCCCTGGAGAAATCCTCCCCGCTGGCTCTCCCGGGAAGGCACAGCCAGGAGTTCCAGGGCCCAAGTCTCCTTGGCAAATGGTCTTTTGCTGAAACTCGCTTTCTGCCCTTACGGAGCCATGCTTCGAGTGATCGTGGAATCTGCCAGCAATATCCCTAAAACGAAATTTGGGAAACCGGATCCTATCGTTTCTGTTATTTTTAAGGGTAAGGAAAAGTTTTTCTCTTTTTCTCAAGTGCTGTTTTGAAATGTTAGCTTCTTGGCTAACAGTCTGTGCAATGAAAGTCTGTGTTTATGCCACTGATAAAGCGTGCTTACCTGGGCAGGTCAGGAGAGAGGTCTGATTTCTGTGGGAGGCATTTAATTTCCCCTGGGCTTGGAGGCTCATTGAATGACTTGTTATTTTAATTCTAATAACAAGATTCCTGTTAGCCTTGGGTCAGAAAACTGTGTTTGTTAATCCCCAAACCTCAGATAGCAAAAGACACGTTTTGATTTCGGTTCTATGCTTTTGGTCTTTTTGGTTCAGCAGTATACATACATATTTATTTTCTCTGCCTATGTAAAATGGATAAAGGAGGGAAAAGGACAATTAAATGGACTGAGGTATCATGACTCCATAAATCAGCCTTCTGGGACATTTTTCGTCCCTGGGTTTTGGGTGGAGGGATGGAATTATTATTTTGGATTAGTTTCTCATCTTGTCCTGTGCTTCTTTGCAATTGCTCTTCATCTCTGCAAAGCTAAATGTTGCCTGCATGTTCCATGGCTTATAATTGCTTAGAGAGGGAAGAGCTCTGAACAGCAAGTCTGCAGTTAGGGGAACTAGTTTGGCCCTGCTAAATAACCTTGGGCAAGTGACCTCATTTCTCTGGATGTCAGTTTTCTTTTCTGAAAAATGGGGAAAGGAAGGTTTAAATCAGATGGTCTTTGAGAGGCCCATTGTAATTCCAAAAGGTTATTTTTCTATGACGTTTAGCTGCAGTCACAGTGGAGGGACAGGAATGGCTGTAATACCCTCTTCCAGGCATTGTGATTCCAGGTTTGCCTGCAGTGGTGTATCTAAGACTCAGTTTGGGAGTTTTATCATTTTCTGTTTGTCTAAAGTCACTGGTAAGATTGCCGCGCTCTTCTTGGTGGGAGGGATGAAGTGAGGGGGAGGGCAGAGAAAGCTGGACCCCTGATGCCCCAAGTTCCGGACCACGCCTGGCACTTTTCTCTCTTCCTCCAGGAACTGACTACTTCTCCATTCCACTTGCTGGCTTATCTCTGCTTTTTCTTTTCTCTCTCTCTCTCTCTCTCTTTTTTTTTTTTTTTTTTTTTTGGTCTGTTTTATCTCCTTATTGCTTTTCTTAAATCATTAAGTTAAGGATGAGCAAGAAAATAAAGTAACAGACCCAAAAGCTGCCAAGTAAGTGGTTGTTCAGTTAAAAAGAAAATGGATTTGAAGGCAAGTATGGGATTCTTGGAGACCAATGTGATTTTAGGAGCTGCTTAGTGAATATTGTGTAGTTATATCAACATTCACATGTACTAGATTTAAAATTTTTTTTCCTTTGAAGCAATTACATAATAAAGACATAATTTGAGAAGTTTATATCTTCACCGTGGACATGTAAAGACACCTAAAAATATCTTGGGTTCAACTGGTGACATCATTATCAAAGATTTTAAAGCAGAGTTTAACACTAAAATATGATTTGTCTGGAGTGTTTAAGCTTGACCAAAATTTTAAGTAAGTAAAAATAATGTCTAAGGCTAGGAACACAAACAATCCACTGAAGGTGGAAAACTCAGTGAAATTAGGCAAATATAGTCTATCCAAGCAATTATATTTACTAGATTATTTACTTTAGTGTCTCTTCCAAATCTCCTTTTATTATGTGAATTTATTCATCTGACAAGCAACCTGACAGAAGAAAGGACTCTGATCTTGGAGAAGGAACATCTGGACTATAATTGACATTAACAAAGAATCTGGTGACCCAAATTTAAGAACCTGGGTTTCGAGGGCCTCCCCGGTGGCACAGCGGTTGAGCGCTGGGTTGCGAAGCTGCCCGCAGCCTCTGCAGCACCGGTTCAATCCCCAGCTGCTCCCTGGCCACCGGCTGAGGGTCCCGCATGGCGCGCAGACCTCTCCTGCCGCCCGCTGCTCCCCTCAGCAGTGTACTTCGGTCCTTCTGCCTGCTCTGCTCCCCGCTCTGGCTCTGGTGAATTCTCTCACCCTCCCGCGCTTCTGACTGTACCCAGTGCTTGTATATAAATAAATAAATAAATAATAAATAAATAAATAAAAACTTAAAAAAAAAAAAAAAAAAAAACTGGGTTTCAAATTTCTCAGCTGTGAAATGATGGGACCCGATCTCCTTGGGGTTCCTTCACTTTTAAAATCTATAATTTTATAGTGCTATGTATTGACTACCTACCCTCAGCAAGATATGGAAGACACTGCCTTAGGTTATAGAACAGCTATGAGAAGGAATTGATAAAGAATATTGCACTTTTCTTGTTTTCAGTCTATCTCAGTGACTTAAAACGCTGCTAATGGCAACCCTTTCAAGGCATACCTCCCAATCTTGAGTACTGCATAAAATTAAGTAACATTAAGTTCTGACAGTTTTGTGGATACTTACATGCTGATGTGTCCATCAGAGTAACATGGAACAAAACCAGATGTGATCCATGGTGTGAACTGGGGCAAGAGCGAGGGAATAAGATGTAATAAGCCTTGACAGACTATCAAGGAGGCACCAAAGAAAATCCCTGTATTTACTGAAATGTGTGAAAGGTTGTCTCTTGGTAAGTACAATAGCAAGGTCAGGACAGTAAGTAGCACTTCGTTAAGATGGCTTGAGGAATGCCCCATGACGGGCATGCTGATGGTGATGCGGAATAGACAGACTTAGCCGTGCGCTAGAGAATGTGCCACACCATCAGCCTGCTGGTTTAGAGCTGGCTTCCGCCTTCTGTGTTCAAGCTCCTCTGAGGCTGACTACAGAATTACTCGGGATCTGGCTCCGCCCATGTGGATGTGGGCTTTACTGGAGCCCCTGCTGTTATGAATGTCCAGCAGTGCAGAAGTGGCTCATGAAAACCACAAAGCTGATTTGATTTTGGGGAAGCACTAGGTGCCATGCACCGGTGCTAAGTCTCTAGGTCAAGTTCCTCCCAGACAGAGGAGCGCACAGATAGCCGTGCTGCCGTGAATGCAGCTAAGGTTAGATTAGACAGACCTCTGAGACCTCTCTCAACACTGAGACTTGATTCCCCAAACTTAACAGGTTTTTTATTATTAGACTTTAAACTTTATAATTTTTTAATAAAATAAGTAATAAAGAAAAGAAAACTAACAATCTAGAGAGATTATACAACTAAAAAGTAGAAATTCTGACCACACTGCTGTTTTCTCTCCCCACTCTCATTACCTAAGAGTAATTAATCTCTCTGAGCATTTTGAATTTTCCCTTTTGCTATAAACATGTAAGTTGTTCCCAGGACTCGCTGTCAGCAGCGGTTCTAGAATGGACTTCTTTACAGTGCATTTCTTATCTTTCTGAATGGGTACATTTCCAAAGGACAGATTCTGGTCTACATGCCTTGCCCTTTATCTTGTCTTTTCTTTTAAAGGTGGATTTGCTGGATATTGCCATTGAATTCCATGTTCTCTTTGGCTTATCTTTTGCTTCTGCACCAAAATTTTTAAAAAGACTTGTTTGGAGATTTGCTTGCACAGACTTATAATGTGCTTTGACAGTGTGGCAGCACCTTGTTCATGTGAAACATCAACTCTAGGGAGTGTGGCTGTTGACACTGTAGTAGTTTTCTCACTCCATCCTTGTGATCTTGAGAATTTTTTCTCACTTCTGCTCTTCTGTAGACCTTTGCCTTGTGGGATGGCTTCTGTTGTTGTCCAGAAGGTCACCAAACAATTTTCACGCTATTACTTATTTTTTCAGAGCTGTTATTCCATTTGCTTATGCTTGGGAATGAAATCCTAGATGTATCTAGGACACGCTCCCCCTCAGTGAGCTTATTAACATGGAGTTTTGAACTAATCACTTGACCTCTCCGGGAACCTTTTTTGAAAATTGGGGTTATAATGGTTTACCTGAAAGCGAGTAGATATATAGAGATTTCCAGAGGCTGTAATTTATGTAATATTTTTTCTATTTGGAATTTTACAGTTGAATTTAAAAAATAACCTTTTAAATAAACATAAAAGCTATGAGGTCCCATTGAAGAATGGTGAAGTAAGATGGTAGAACGATCCAGTGAGTCTTGTTCACTGTCACCTGGGAAGGTTGTCTATCCAGGATTAGTCAAGAGGATTCTACCAGCTCACAATGACAACCATGCCAAGTCAGTACTTCCGTAGAATCCCTGAACTGTATTTGCAAAGCATTCAGGAAGGGGAAAGTGTTTAATCTGTTGAGTCATCCCTCTCACTTCTGGGAGAACAGAGCTGCAGGCTCACCACCCAAAAAAAGTGGCCACACCCTACTGTGACATGGGAACCCTCAAAGGATGCTTCCCAAAGGCACATTTTGTGGACATGCAGTCATTTATAAAACCCAGTTGCCTCTTGGAAATGAATTTACATGGCTCTTTTCCTTCTCCTCTATAACATATCTTCCATGCATACCCTCAAGATATGTCCTGGGTGTATTTGCCTGGTTTGAGCTTACTGGTAAGTTTCTTCATTCCCCTGGGATTTGGCCCTGCCAAGAGGCTATGGAATTTTTATATTCACCGCGACACCTAGTACATCACTGATGTTGAGTATGCACTTTAAACATTGGCCAGGGAAGCAAGAGCTAGCAGGAGATTGGAGACATCTTAGTACAATAAAATCATTGCTTCCCGGTGTTGAAGAGGACTGTTGGTAGTCAGCCAATCTCCCTTCTATCAGGAAGAATTACCTTTAATATTCTCTCAGGTGCTTTGTAGCTAAAGCTTGGCAAAGAGTCAGTTCACACATTCCCAAACACTGAACGTAACTAATTCCTAGCACCTGCTACCCAGGGGCAAATCGGTGTCATGGTGTTTTTTACATTCTTGATCCTGGTCAGGAAAATGAAGCTGTTAGTTTTTATGTTGACAATTTATACACAAAATGTTCCGTGGCTTATAAAGAATGAATAATGCATAGATAAAGCAATGGTTACCCTACCCCCTGTGGAACTCCTATTGAACAGCTGTTCCTTTC